AAAAAAAAAAAAGTGTAGAAGTGTCAATGTCTCATGACGCTTGAAACACCATAGTTTTTATTTTTAGTTCAATCAATCAACCACCCACTTTCCCATCTCCAAGTCCAAGTGCTCGATCGCCACTTGTGTCTTAAACAAAGGTATCTTCAAGAGGACATCTTCGATTGTTAGGTCTCCATTCTTAGGGACCAGAACAAAGAAATCATTTTCTTACCACATCTAGAATTTAACTGATTGAAATTGTCAATGAAAAATATTGGTCCGAACTGTGCTGATGTTAGATCAAATCAATCTTTTTTTTTATTTTTTTATGGTTTTATGATAAAATCACAGTTAGTAATGCGTCCCTTTCAAAACCTTAAAACATGGCATGCGGTAACCCAACATAAAGTCATGACTTTCTTCTTGTACACCAGTTTTTCAACTTACTTCAACTGCCATGTTAAATTCTATCATGTGGAATTATTCAACTTAAAAAACTGCCAAAGTGCTTGGGAAATTATTTTGTGTTAAAATATGCCAAATTTCATTAATTATGGAAGTTATACATAAAATAAAAAATATTTTTTATTTTAAAATTTAAATTACATCAAATTATAAAATATTAAACGGTGGAAGAAAAGACTACAGTAGAATGGATCTCTTCCCCGAGAGAGTAAAGTTTTGCAGCCTGCGGTCTCAAGAATGGTGAAATTGTACGGTGCAATGTGCATGCAGCTGACCAGGGGTGGCTGACTATCTTAATCAATGCTCTTTTTTATATTACTGACAAAAATTCAACGGTCTTGATGCCATGGATCCACTGTTAAGGTCCCAACCACTCCACAATGAAAATGGGTTTTTTTTTTTTAAAAAAAAATAAAATTTAAAAAAAAAGACAAAAACCGAGAACAAAAGGGAGAAAAATATATTATAAAAAAAAATATAATTATTGAATTACGAGATTTAAATGTCAACAATAAAAATAATTAATTTTTGCAATTAATTGATTGATTAATTGATATAATATATCTCATAGCATAATTTAATGGTGTAGTAGTATTTCAATTTCAACAAGGAAATGCATATGAAGTAAAAAAAAAAAAAAAAAAAAAAAGTTCAAAATGGTAGCACGAGCCCCTTTCAGCAGATCATTCAATGAATTTCAGAAAGAAAGAAAGAAAAAAATCAAAGGTATATATTAGGATTTTCTCTTCCCCTTTCGCTGGGTTAGTTGTTGAAAATTATTTAAAAAGACAAAACTGTCTATTATTCCATCAATTAATTTATATATTGTGCACTCTGAAATTTTAAAAAATAAAATAAAATGCATGCTTCATTCATAAAAGGGTCTATATCTTTAAGGTATATTCATTATATTTTTATTATTAACTTATATAAAAAATTATGAAAATAAATTTTATTTTCAATATTAATATCATGTGATATAATTTAATTAAATGATTAATAAATTTTAATTTAATTTTTATATTTTTATATAAATTAACAATAAAAAAAT